CAGCCAGCATAAATTATTTTAAACACACATACATACATATACTTTATTTATGCTTGAAATTCACAGTGTAGCTGTAGAGCTAATATCTTCAAGAAAATAAGCTAAAATAAAATAAAACATGCTATATTACAATTCCAATATTATTTATGAACTATTTACAACATTATGCATGCAGGGGGAAATATAACTTGTAGATCTACTGTGGAAAAGCTTCATATCTGAGGATCTCCTGCTTGAGACATGTAAGGTAAACATGTAGGGTAAATAAAAATTGTCATGTTTTCTTTAAAAATGTCACCTGAATTGCAAATCATGTTATTGGAGTAGTCCACTATATTGCAATCACCAACAATTTCCTAAAACCTCATGACTCAGAGACTCATTTGCAGTACTCCTTCATTTTCCTTTTAGCCTGTAAGATTCAGGCACAGCTTAACCCCTCCGAAAGAAACTTGTTCCCAGAGAGGTTCCTCAGTGTGTTACAAACCACCTCATTCCAGAAGTTTCTCACTTATTTTTCTTCCAAGTTGGCAGTGAGACTGACAAATTGACACCAAAATGGCTCTGACATGTATTTGGAGAATTAGTCCAATTCAGTTCAGCAATACAAGTTTTGAGTGCCGATATATTCTGGAAAAGAGAATTTAAAGCCATATTATCAAAATTCATCTAAACTAGGAACGCAGGGACAGGAGCCGCACCCATCAGTACTTGCAGCACCATAAGAAACATACTTCAGCCGGCAGTGCTGCTCTCGATAAAAAGGCAGCCCACGAGACATTTATAGGTAATTAATCCGTTAGACACAAAAAATAGTGCCGCTAAATAACTTGCCAAATGTCTAGAGGCAGAGAATGCTGTCACCATTTAAAGTCAAATAATCAGTTACGTAACGGTTACCAACAGAGGAACTTGATAACCATCCCTTGCAAATTCCATAGGGACCACATTGGCTGTGCTATTACCTGCACCACCCAAGTCACATTCTTGTTGCATAGTAATCAGAAGAAGAGCCCCCAAAATTCCCAATTACTCGCTACCATAACTTGTGAAAGGATTCCAAGGTCAGTCACATGGATCTGGTTTATGATAAGATGAAACATCCTAAGACAATCAATTGGAATACACCACCACATTCTACCACGCTCAGTAAACGTCAGTGGTATCCTGAAAACCTGACTACAGGTGACTTGACCTGCCCTCCCGTAAAAAAAAGTCATCCCCATTTCTATAGGATTTAGTAACATGGGTTACTGTTCCTCCTCCCGGATGGAGTGCCACGAGAAACTTATCAGGTTCCTTCAAAGCATCTCTTTTCATTTTCCGGAATGATCATCAGAGGAGAAAGGAGGGACTATGAGTATGGAATGTCTCAAGCCAGCGCATGGCTCAGATGTCTGCCTCTTTGTTTACCTCTGTTCAACGATGAGAACAATGCGTGCCTTGTCAGAGACCTAAACAAGTTTACCATCCGCACTTCCTAAGTACACGTGCGTGGCACAAGAAAAGAGTACACAAACAATCAAAGTATACAGGTCATGTGTGCACACTGGACGTCTACATTCCCTGAATGGAGTTTTCTTTTAAGATGTAGCACTTGAGAAAGGAATGACATAATAATTTCTGACAAAGAGAAATAGCGGAACAATTGCAAAATAAGAGATGTTGTCAGTGCTGTGCGAAAAGGAATTGGAATATTTTAACTTTCTCCTTTGTCTTTTGTTAATGGGGAGATCACTAGGATTGATTATTTTCATGTATGACCGAGGTGCATTTTCTTAAGATGTAAAGAAAATAATCACGTTCTCTATTTATGTAGTGTTTATATGCGAGGTAACTTTTGTTGCGTAACAGTGAGAATAAATGAAGCATCGACAATTAGCATCCTGCTAAATTAAATCTGGTGTGTGAACAATAAATGATTTTCACCTGTCCACATTTCAAGTGGCCATTTCGCGCGAATGGATATTGTTTTTCAAACCCGACATTTTTAGCTTGTGTTTTTGTTTTCGGTGGTCTAGTAAATCATTGGGTGCTGAGGACAATTTTGCATTTTCATCCTCGCCGATTTTATTTTTTATTTACACCTTCCCACCCTCATATTCAGTTTAATTTCTCAGTTCACCCACTGATCTTCCATTAGTGGAGAGAAGACCCATACATCTGGGATACCTTTTACCAACACTGAAAAAGCCACATGGGTTGCTAGTGAAACTATTGGTTTATATTTTATCACACTAATATCAGTCGAGAGAGTCAGCTCAATAACCATAAAGCCAGTCATGGCTGACTGACTTAAAACTTTCCAAAACATTTTTTGTTGCGAAATAATTCTAAGTCATTCAATGAACATCAATAAGACTTTACGGATCAGAGACTCAGCAAGGAATTGTGCCCTCACTATACATGTATCAAATAAACGAATTCACTTGCTGAAAGCAAAATTTAGCATTTACCGTTGTAATAAGGAGTTGACTCGAAAGAGTTTAATTCAATCGTGTCTATGATAAAAAAGTGCGTGCTTCTCACAATCTTCTTTTTCTATCTTTGTTTTAAATGAACGTTCGAGTTCATTATGGTCAACTCAATCAATTTGAAAGTGACGACAAACAACGAACTAGTTACCTGTCTGCTGACAGATGACATCACAATTAGTTGACAGGAGATCGAGACGGGAATAGCCGAAATTAAGTCTTAGACACAAAATAATTTATGCCGCAAAGTCACTCATTTTCAACAAAAGAAACAACTTGGTTTTTTTCCTTCTAAGTGCTTTATTATGATAATTTAAGGCAGTTTAATCTCAAAGGTGCGAAATTTGCGCGCAAAACAGAGGATAAGGATAAGGTATAGTTTATGATAGATTATTCTTCCACCAAAATTTCTCAGTACTGTTCCAGAAAATTATCCTGTTCCTTTATTAAAGGAATATAAAGTTATTCATAAACTAACATGCTTGCAACAATTCCTCGGCAAACCGAACTTTCCCTAGAAGTTCGCCCTCGTGAACATCCTGTAGACCTGAACAATCATGAACTTTTGTCTTTTCCTCTTTCTGTAAACTTCAGATTTTCAAAATGGGTAATAATGATAAAAAAACCAGTGGCTAAAAGCGCTGAATAATTAATGACACAAACATACAAGCAGGTTTCCCTGTTCAAAACGTATGTTTAAATTTTCAATTTTTGAATTTCGATGCTGAATTGGCTACAAAATGCATTTTCTAGCCAAGTGGTAGGAAAAATTGTTTCTGGAAAGAAAAACACTTCCTTTGACATTAAAAGTCGTAAACTGTTGTGTTTAATTGCAATTAAGGAGTATTCTTCATTTGTATAATCGTATCCACTCAATATATACAAATGATTCTTAACATAACAGGGCGGCCAAGGTCCCAAAAACACCACAGTTACAGGGTGTAATTCTGGATGAAACGATATCTTTCTTCTAATTCTCATTGGAGACTCAGAATTAACAGCACCGTTGTTTACTCAAATCTTCAAACAAATAGCCTCAAAACATCATTCGCTGACTTCATAACCTGTCTTAGATACATTTCGCGCGCGCACAGTTTGACTTCCTCCTTATGCTAGCTCCTTTATGATATGAACTGTGTTTTAATGGAAGATGGAAAGGAACGAGTTTTTAGAGGCGAATGAATTCTGAGATTTGTATAGGAATATTAAAAATTAATTTCTTTTTTTACGTTATGACAAGGATATAATGTTTTGACTCCCCGCCAAAACAGATATTCAACTCAGATTAATTTACAAAGTAAATCTTCAGGTGGCATTTTAAGGGAGGTTTTAAAATAGGGTATCGTGTTGCCATGCTGCATCATTTTAGCACGTATCAGCCTTTAGAAGTTTCTTATCTCAGCGAAGGCTGGGTTTAAACGACCATTACGTTTCCAACTGAAGGTCTTTGTATTGATCTTGAAAGGAAAGGAATTCTGCGATACTCCCTCAGGTGAGTCTCTAGCATAAGAGAAGTTGTTCGATGAGATACATTTTAACTAACAGTTCCATTCTTAGTGGAAATCTTCAGCGCTGCCAAGCGTAGGAAATGCATTTTCAAGTTGGCAAAAAAAGTATTTGTTGTAATTTTGTGGGAAAGTTGTATTTGGATCAAAAACAAAAGAAAAGTATTTGGAAAGTAAGATCTTTAAGTCATCATTATTAGCCACTTATAATTTGAATCTATGGTAAAAATTATATTTGAAGTCGAGTTTAAATATGGCAACAGATTATCAGTTTAAATATGATCGAAAACGTTCGGTTTATCATCGTGGTTGATACATGTACCTCTAAATATGAAATGGTGTCGAGGAAATCGTAAGACACGAAGGTTAGGGATATAAGTTAAAATGACTCAAAATGAGCCACAGTTTCTCCTCGAAGACTCAGAACTTAATTCTCCAACTCAAGCGCCTGTTTTTTTTGCTTTTTTATTGATTTACAAAAAGATGTTCCCTTTTGTGATCGAAATGACTTAAGATTAGACTGAAAATGCCCCGCCTATTAGGTTTCAACTTTAGCTGCTATTTGTTTCAGTCCAGGCTCTGTTTGCACGAAAAAAAAAACCAGCAAATAAAGTCACGCTGAACTCGCGCGAAAAGTAAGAAGACGTCAAAATGAAATAAGAACATCAGTGACATACTTGGCTGCGGCTCGTGTTTTTACCTTGCAAGTGACGAATAACAGGGCTTACGATCAATAAATTTTTATCTCGTTCCAGAGTGAGTGGCTTTCGGTGTTATGGGTGTGCTTTGAAACGGTGGCGCTCTGTGTCTCCCTCAGAGATTCAGATATAGCTGTCGTGCTCTATAATTCTCTCTTGCACAGGGGTGCTATTCAGTAATTGCATTTATGGAGCTTCCTGACGCAATTTAGAACCACAGACAAACGCACTTTAGTACTATTTTAGCAGCCGTGTCTTATCGACCCGCACCAGTACCACATCGCACACACACGCTTGCGCATTAGGTCTTTTTGCATGCGTGTTATATAGCACGTTTCACGGGCGTCCCGTTTGTAAGACTGCTTGGAACAAAGCCAAGCAAAATTCACCATGCCTGTCTTTGCTTTGTTCATGAACTACATGTCCCGTTGCACGTATCGTGTTATAACCCGCGTGCCCCTATAATTACATGCTCCCTGTTTTTCTGTGGATGGCTACATAAGTGTAGATATGTGAAGCATTAAATTCCGGTTTTCATTTCAGTTAGGAAAAAACCACGATGGTGGTCCAAGGGTTCTTTCATTTGCCAGTTTTCCTCTCCCTGTTGGTATTCTTTCATTCAGTATTTACACAGTACCACCGTGATACTCGCGAAGACTCCATCTTTGGGATGATGTTACAAAATCACATCTTTAAAACAATCACCAGAGCTGCATTCGGCGATGAGTGTTTACGGGAATGTTATCATGACATCAGATGCCAAAGCTTTAACTATGTCTTCACCCAAGATAAGTGTGAGCTGAGTAATCGTACAAAGGAAGCCAGGCCTGAAGATTTTGTGCCCAACTCTGAGAGATATTACTTCAGACGAGACATGAATAGAGGTAAGCCTTCGGATCAAAATAATAAAGGTTACCAGTTACCCAGTACGGAAACAAAATAGAGTCTTTCTCTCTTCCAATTTACAGTAATCCTCGGTGCCATTCCAGAGCTTCCTGCAGACTCGTGCAAGGAAATCAAGGCCAGTGGAGGTGGACAAGCAGTCAGTGGTTATTACTGGGTGAATCTCATTAAGAGAGCAGTTCTACTTCACTGTGACATGAAGATCGAAGGTAATTTTATTGATCAATAATGATGCCAATGAATTTGAAAGCGATCTTCAAACTACTTTCACTACTTAACAGTAGTGAAAGTAGGGCCTAAAAAAAAACAGGTTTGTACGGGATTTGAATCCACGACCTGTGCGACACCGGGGCAATGCTCTACCAACTGAGCTAACAAGCCAACTGGGGTATTGCACTGGTATAGCAGAGGTCATGGGTGCGAATCTCGTACAGGCCTGATTTTTTTTTTCGGGCCTTATCTCACTACTCCTTAAGTAGTGTTCATTAATGCGAAATCTTCAAAATTATTTCTTAAACCGCAGTTCACATATATGGTTTTCATATGTTTACAGTCATTGGTACTATTAAAGTCAAACAGCCTCTGTGATTTCTTTCGACTACGTATAGATACATTGATACATTCGATGGATTGCATTTCAAAATAAATGTGCCCAGATGGGCTATACCTTTGCCTTGCATTGTTAAAAGAATATATCGTTTTTGAGTCAAACTCTTAGTAGATTTAAAGATTTGGCTTTGAATCGCAAATGACGTATAGCAGTTGAAACGAATGCTGTTAAATGAAAGAAGTCATCAGGCAAATAATACTACGTTGGCCGGTTGCGCAGTTCAGAACCGCGGAGACGCGGGTCGCTCTTGAACTGTACGACATAATATCTCGAATCCAATGAATTGCGTCAATAACAAAATGCTTGCGTGAAACCTACGAAAACAACCGTCTTTTTCCATACTTATTTATTGACTTTGATAAAACAAGTTATGATCCCTGTATTTGTAGATGCTGACGAATGCAATGCCTCTATCAATTTTTGTGACGCTAACGCTGATTGCAAGAACACTCTGGGTTCATACAGTTGTTCATGCAAAGCCGGATTCCTGGGTGATGGAAAAACTTGTAGAGGTGAAGAGACACATAAATTCATATAGACTTCAGTGTAACGCGACAACCCTTGCGGTAAAGAGAGAGAGGAGGGGGGGCACGGTATATGTTATTTCTGGCTTCTCGATCACCGTCTCCTTACCATGTGTACCTCCTCAAGCAGATGGTAATTTATTATGGTCCAAAAGCCCTTATCATCCTCAAATGCCATGTCTGAAATCTCATTGAACTAACTGAAGATAACTTTCATACATGTATGTGGCAGATTAAACTCTAGCCTTCCCCCCCTCCTTCCCGTGCCATGTCTGAAATCTCATTGAACTAACTGAAAATAACTTTCATACATGTATGTGGAAAATTAAACTCTAGCCTCCCCCACTCCCCCACTCCCCCCCTCCCCCCCTCCTCATTCATTTGGGTCTGAAGATTTCACGCCAGTGAGTTAAGTTTCAATAATATTCTCAACAAAAAGATGAAGTAAGCCGAAAGAGAATTTACGGTATTAGGCTGTTTCGATTTCAAGTTGATAATTTTTAACAAATATTTCGAGGTTAGTATTATCACCAAGGACATTTCTATTTTAAAGACTGTGAATTTATGAAAGTCATATATTTGAACTGCGGATAAAGACGTGACCACGAAAATAGATCATTACTGCGAAGATCGCTTTCATATTCACATTTAAATTCTAGCGCACATTTAAATCTCATCTCCACATTGGTAAATTTGCCAACAGATATTGATGAGTGTAGTGCTTCTATTCGGGTGTGCAACATAAATGCCGACTGCCACAACACTCTTGGCTCTTATAGCTGCTCCTGTAAGCCTGGATTTACTGGTAATGGAATGACATGTGCAAAGCGAGGTAAACTTTCTGTAAAACCCATCTCAGACCCAGTCGTGTTCATTTTTATTCTGAGCAATCTTAAAGCCCTAAGTATCCAAATCGGGAGTTGATGTGACGATTTAGAGTCTTAGTGTAATCCATTATACTTCAGATTCATTTTAAGATTATTAGCGGGCTGCTTTATTTATTTTCAAATATCAGAGCGAACTGCCGCAACAAAGAGGTGCTACTATTTGCAGTGCAGATCTGTTTACTAAATAATATCACTAAGAAATTAAATAAATACTTGGGCGAAAGAAAGAAAAAAAAAGGAATTATTTGAATCAAGTACCAACCAATTGATCTCATCCTAGCTTGTTCTTGAACTGTCATAGGAAAATCAAAAACGTTTTCCATAACGTTCGACTATCCGGGTTGTACCTCCCTGTCGTTCTAAATACTTTTTTTAGGTCACAAGAACCTTTAATGTGTGACTTTTTCTTTTCCCTATTGTTTTTATTTCACGTGGATATCATTTGATTACGCACGGCATTTTGAAGTCGTCACCAACTCAATTTGGAATAGTCTTGCTAGCATTTCAATTTTCCACACTCCTGTTTATTTTACAGATGCTAAAAACTGTGCTGATAAGTATAATTCAGGCAAACGAAGCAATGGCGTCTACTCCATCAATCCGGACATTTCAGGTGCCTTCAGTGTTTTCTGTGACCAAACAGCAGCTGGTGGGGGGTGGACTGTGTTCCAGAAGAGACTGGACGGCTCTGTTGACTTCTATCTCAACTGGATTAACTACAAAACTGGCTTTGGTAGCTTGAATGGGGAGTTTTGGCTTGGACTGGACAAAATACACCGCCTTACTAACAGCAGTAATTACAAGCTTCGTGTTGATTTGGAAGACATGTCGGGAAATACAGCCTATGCCGAGTACAATGTCTTTACGGTTGGCAATGAGGCAACAAAGTACCAACTGAACGTCAGAAATTACTCGGGTAAGTTTTCGTTACGATCCCTTCAAAATGCCTATGATTTACGTTTGAAAAATCGAGTGTTTCGAGTTCTAGTCCACTACCCTGATGTCTAAGCCCCTACCTCTAAAATGGCTGTTGCTGTGAACAAATGGTCGGTGTTTATTTATTTATCTTTTTTTTTTTCAGGAAACGCTAGTGACTCGCTGGCTAACCATAATGGTTATCCATTCATGACAAAAGATATTTCCTCTTCCAATTGTGCTGTGACCTATAAAGGAGCTTGGTGGTATTATAGTTGCTACGAAAGCAGCCTAAATGGTGTTTACCATAATGGAGAGTACACCGGTTATGATAGCATTCGGTGGCATGGATTCCTACATCACTCAGCCAAAAGAGCTGAAATGAAGATGAGACCGATCAATTTATAGAAATTGAGGACAGATACTTTATTGCTGCACACCTGTGTCACCTCTTGTCAGGGCTTGGTGAGTTGGGAGGGGGCTGGGGACAAGAGAGGGTGGTGGGCTTTTTACTGTCTTCCTCTCTCTCACATGCTGGGAACAAATTATGTAGGACTATGATGTCACTGAAACAAGTAGCGGTAATAGCAAAGAATACGATTATCCAGTCAGTTGAGTAGTTTCGTACTCGTAGAAATAGAGTATGTCTTCCAATTTAGGTGTGTTGGAAGTAAAATCGGTTTTTTTTTATCAAATACCAATTTTACCTGCATTAAATAAGTTTGCGTTTACGCTGCGTCCATTTTTGATATGCGACCACCGAATGTAAGGCGAGGAACCGAATATGCATGGTCTGGAGGTCATAAGACAGACGCAAACTGTATTCCTAACGAACACAGATGGATTCATTTTCCATCCTAAATGTACTTATATTACAACCTGATGTTTTTACTTTGTACCATCAAAGGCTCAAGTTTTGATACCACGGAAATGAATCGAAAAACAACTTTTTAGTTTTTCATCATAACGACTGGCAGATATTCACATCGAAGGGAGAAAAAATCACTCTTACCTTACGTATTGTTAAGAAAGTCGTAAGTATAAAGAGTAATTGTTTTGTTAATAACTACACTTATCTTGCGCTAGGCAGTAATTTAGTTGTAAATTTGCTAGTGTTGTGTGTTTAATACATGGCTTTGTGAGATATCTGCTCAGCTTATCTTTACTAAATCACTGCAATTTGATATACATGCTAGACCCAAAAGTTAGCAAGAACTCACTTTGCGAACACAAGACTTAATAATTAATAAATAAAGACAAACAAAGTCTTGACTTCTCGCCGTTCTGAGGGAAAGGTAAAGCACGAAAAAACACCAGGTGTGGTCAGGTGTGTTGTGTATTGACCCAACGATCAGAAAACAAGATAAGATCAAGATGGCGGTTTTTAATAATCTGCCAACAAAACCTCAACCTCGTGTACAAATCGCGTGGCATTGGGTGCTAGAAGAAATTCTAACAGAAAGATTTAACAAGGTGCTTCTCCTCTTTTTCTCGAGTACACTTCCGTTGTGCTTTACAACAGGACAGAGAATAGTCGGTGTTGCTTTGTTTATTTTATGATGATGAATTCGTCAATTTCCCAACGTATTCAGTTGAGGGCTTCAAATCAAACCTTATTCTTAAGTTAAAATTTGAAAATGTCACTGTTGATTTTCATAAAAACTAGTTTCACTCTTAGTAGCCTGTTGTGCTCGTATCATCTTATCCTTACGATAATAAAGTGTTACTGGTTTTCCTTCCGTTTGGTCACTTGTATTACAGATTTAGACTTCTAGACTGCATATTGCTACTTCCTTACTCACATGGACAAATTGAACCAGAAATGGATCGAGGCTCTTCTCCAGCCCTCTAATAACGAAAGAAAATAAAACTTTACAAACGCCTGCTTTGAAAAATAGTTTAGTGAGTATATTTGCATCGCTCACTTTTCTTGTGGGAGAATATCACTTCAACGTAATTTACCGCTCGCTCATTGATCGAATACTATTGTCAGTAAGGTTATCGCTGATAAAGATGAAGTATCATGTAAAGCAACGCTAACAAATCCACGCAAATTTCTGAGATGTAAACAGTGGCGGATTTCCAAATTTTTAAGATCAGTTTTCTCGGGGAAGTTTTAGAAGACCATTATGAGGTAATTAAAAAAAAGCCCAGAAAAATTTTTCAGAGAAAGCCGGTTCTCGGCTGGTTCCCAAGGCTGAAAGAATACGACCACGAATAGTTTCTTTGCTTTTCGTGATTCAATCATTGCAGACGCATGATAAAGCGAAGAGAAGATTTACGACCTATATATGTCCTTTTCAAAATATTTATGAAATACGAAGGCGTTTCACGTGAAACAAATTCAGCTGGTATGTATTATGAAAATAATGTAAATTGTTTTCGTTAAGCGTAAGTACGGAAAATGTGGTTTTTTAACAACTTTTAAAAGAGGTGATAAGTACAAGTCGAGACTTCATGGCTGGAAAGCGAGATTCAGTTATAAAATAGTCCCAAGGGTCGGCGGTCGATAGCTTTTGTGTTTTTTTCCATATATATCTGTTTCTTTATAATTGGAAGTGAAGATAAACGTAACAAGTGTATTTCGACACTTATGAATAATCTGTTGGGTGGTTATTAAAAAAGTCAACGAAAGGAAAATAAAAACGATCGATAAAAGGCGTAGAAGTCTTGTAAACAAAGAATTAAGCTCATTCTGGAATGCTTTAAAAAAGAGAAAAAATTATTTTCAGTGTCTCCTACATCGAAAAACGTTTTCAAGACTCTGACAACGATGGTGAAAATGGTTTTTTCAAATAGCCTACAAATTTGATCTTTTAAAACCGCCAGTCTGGAAAAGAAAAACAGGAAAATCGATTGTTGTTATTGACCGCGCATAAGCGGAGACATTTCATTCGGAAGGTGACTAAGAGATGAACTTAGTAGATATTTTACCATCACCACAGTAATATTAAGATCCAACATAAATGTATTTTCATAATCCAATTATTACGATGCACAATGAAGAGAAGAGAAGTTCTTAAACTTTTATATCGGTTTTCAAGGTATTTTCCAAACATTTATTCAAATGTAGGCGTTTTAACTTAGACAATATTAATTGATATAAATGCAATGTTTAAGATGGATATTTGTTTTAAAAAAATGCTAGACATGCGTCGTGAGAACATGATAGGCTCGTCCGTGCTTTCAAACCACTAAACCTCAACCGTATTCATGAAGGTTTACGATGAGTAACACTCCATCAAGTTTGGACTACACCCTGCATCTGTCGGTTTGAAATTAGAAACTGTGTGTAATACAGAACATAACTGAACAATATGCTCCTTCGGTTCAAATTTTCAGGCCTCATTTTTTATTAATGGCAACCTGCCTGAGAATGAGCCTTACTACAATGAATTCCCAATTTCAAAGCAATTAATCTAATGGAGTCCGCTTGAGGATAAATGAAATATCGGTTAGACATCAATTTGTGATTGGCTATCGCACCACTACAAGGTTCAGCTTTAAACTGGTGGCGTATTTCTAGTAAACAAGTTGCTGTTAAGCTCCTTGCTTTGCTCATTAGCTCTCTACCATCAAAACGACTTTGTTTCATCCCGTTGTTGTGGAAATGGCACTTCTACTCCACTTGTTTTTCATCTCGGTGGTTTTTCTCTCTAAACACGCTTTATCTTGCGCAAATAGTAAGTTTTATTTTTGCTTTTTGAAAATTTACATGTTTTTTCTTCTTCTAAATGTCTCAGGTCTGCAGTTCAGCACAAATTGTCAAAAACTGAAACTTTAGACTGTTGACATGATTGCTACAAAACTATTTTTTATTTCACTATCTATTCACCATCCATTTCTTTGTTTTAATTAATTCCAAAAAGGATTTTCAACTCGTTTTCATTATATTTTACATATATTTTAAAGTAATTTCACGTTACGAATGAACAAACCCCGCTATTTCTTAACTCACCCGAATATTCCATGCTTATGGTCTAGACTTCCTGCTAAACATCCTTTTATAGATCCACAATGTCATCCAATTGGCGAGAATTTTGTGGTTTCATTGATATATTCGTAGAGTCAGTAACCAAAGTTCTGAAAAGCCACGCGGGCGTGGAAAGAAATTTGATGTATTTACTTCGTGAAAAAGGAAAAGTTTTGAATTCGAGCTATTTATCACCTTATTTTTACGGATGAGAGCACTTTACCAAATTACTCTCGATCACTCACGATCTCTATCTGGGCATATTCAGTTGGCATTTATTTTGGTTAGTTAAGGGAACTCTGTTATTTCACCATGACGATGTCTTTGCGAGCGGGTGCTATACATGTACTAGGTCATTTGTCTCGTAATTTAAGAACTCAGCATTCGAGGCATATTTTGTCGTTATAGAACTTGTAGAGGTCTGCAATTTACGAAGAATTATGAATTATTGCTTTTGATATGAAAAAAAAAAATGAAACTGGGACGTGAAGTTAACAATGATGGAAAAGGAATACTGACTGTGGAGAAACTTCTCACTTAGCAGTTCGCTAAGGTTTAAACGATGTAGATATTTTAAATCACTACAGTGTTATTGACAACCTTTTATTGAAATGTTTTCATAATTCTTTCAACAGCAATCCACAATAAAGCGCAGGGAGGATCAAATTTTGAAAGTGGTTTCCAGTATATTTAGTCAAAACTTAGTCGTTTTTTGTTAGCAAGTTTAATTGATATGAATGATAAAAACATAACCAAAATTTTATAATAAAATAACTTTAAACTTGGGTTTCTCAAAGTTTTCGGTGTTTGTTCAAGCGTGATCATCAACTCTAGGGATGAATCGTTGAATACATCTCTTGCCTTGGACTGAAGGTAAATCACATTAGCGGTTTCTTCTAGAATATATTTGCCACCAGTTCTTGGAACGTAGGAGGTCCCTTCACATTCTTGTGTGTTATTTCCGCAGGAATCATCTTCGCAAGAGCGCCTCCTTTTCGTCTTGCGCTACCGAAAAGTGGTGGCCTTGAAGAACTTGCTTGAGAGCCAGTAAGAGAGCCACCATAAGTTAACAAATGACTTAATTGCCCTTTATGTTGTTCAGCTATCTGCGGGATGTTTGATGGCGAATTCGTGAAATCTTCCCCCATGACAAGAAGAGAAGATCCATCGTCTAAATGCAAGACATCAAATCGTTCTGAGTCAGTCGGCCAGTACGTCATGTCTCCAAACTCCTCCCTTAAGTACAACGAATTCGTTTCCACCTGAGAAATACAATTTTCCTCGTTTGTTGTTTTCAGTGTTGAAGATTTCACTCCCAACACAACTGCTCGCAGGGTAACCACAGTTAAACACGCTCTAAATTTTGGTTAACATTACTTAATCTTGCAAATCTTGCATTGTTGCAGTCATGTTATCGGGCAATTTTGCAAGACTCCAAATGTAAATACAACGTGTATTGCCTGAAAAGCTCGAGCAGCCACGAAACTGTCATATCCCCCGCTGCTATTCGTAATTTAAACACTTTTCCGTCCCTAGTCAAATCAAAGGTTTTATTGCTTGCCATAATGTCGACGAACGGACAGTCCGAAAGAGCTCGAAACTTTCACTTCTTTCGCAGACTACAGGCGAGCCATTAGGGAGGGGGTGGTATCAGAAATTTACCCCCTCCCTCTCCCTCACCTTCATTCTATCCATGTTTTACAGTATGGTGTCTTAAAAGTCGATAGAGCTACATCACCCGCTCCAATATGCTCAAATACGAAGTCTAAGATCTTTTTAACTTCTTAGCTAACATCCAAAGTCTGGCTGCTCGCTGTAATGAACAGAACTGAGGAAGACGCTCCAAAACGTCGTGAAAGACTGCGAAGAGACAGTTAAACTCTCACTTCCTTCCCAAACTCCATAGGCAAGGAAGCGGACCTGGCCATGGGGAGAGGGCGCTGGGGGCAAAAATTACCGTGCGAATGAACCCCTCCCCCTCCCTCTTGGGTAGTTCTGTCAACAATTTTCAGTGTTTTGGCCGAAAAACAAAAGTTGAAATTGGAATTAATTTTCAATTTTCAATTTTTAGACTTCCGCCGAAAACAGAAAAACTTAGCCATGCCATAGACTGCAACATTGTTGGAAAAGTAAAATTGCAGCTCAGTTTCATTTTTTTCTTTATTGTTGACAGGATTAATGTAAAAATATAAAAAGGAAAAAAAGTCAAAAATTTTCGATTTGGCACTTGCGTATTATTTATGATAAAAAATAAAAATAAAAAATTGACATCGATTTTCAATTTTTGATTTTAAACGAAAACTGAATAGACGAATGACAGGCGGACCTAGAAAGGGGTTGCAGGGGAAGCTACCTTTTCTAATTAATTGTTCCCTCTTGCATAAGGTGGTGGTGGAGGCGGATTTTATTACAGTGGAAAAAGTGGAAGGAATTATGGTGGAACCACGGGAAAAGGTGGAGAGAGCGGTAAGGGATATCTGGATGGAGCGTTGGGTGGTGGAATCACGATTAAAGATGTTGTGGGTGGGTTTGGTGGTGGTGGTGGCGGAGTACATAAATATAGCCAAGGAGGAGGAGGAGGTGGGTACTCTGGTGGAAGAAGTGGAGCCAATGCAATGAATTCCTGTGGCGGTGGGGGAAGATCTTTCAATGCTAGGAAAAATCAGAGAAATGAACGCTGTTGCAAGATATCCACGCATGGTCAGGTGACTATAACGTTTTTGTTGGATTTTTGAACAAACTATTGACATGATCCAATTGTGTTACTTTGTCATAAACTTGATCAACCTGAACAATTTTTAAATTACGTCACTTATGTCATTTACAGTGTATCTGGTTAGGTACATCTCCATAATCATCATTTTGAAGGGAATGTTTTACCGGGAGCTAAAAAATTTTGGCTACACATAAAGCAATCAAAGCTCACGTTATAAAATTCAGGCTAAGATAATATTTAGGACAACTGCCAGCACCGGGTGAGATGAAACCCTCGTGAATCTGACAGAAAAATACTGAAATGTTTGAATTATGAGATTCCGCAAGGAAAGAACTTCAAGAAAACGAGTTTTATTTTAAGCTGAAAAAGAAATTTGCTCGGATTGACTGCTTTTGAAAGTGACGTGAATTTGCCTACTTTGGCAACCCGAGAACGTCTGAGAAAAAAAGTGACGTTTTATAAAAAATTGGAAAGTCACATCATGGTAACTGATAGGCCATGCAAAGCCTGTACTCTAAAGTACTTACTTTGCCGTGCGTTTTCGTGAGCATTTTTTCATATAGAATGTCTCGTAGACGGTTTTATTGTTGTACCTGAATATGAAAATTACCTTGAAACACTTTTACCGTGCATTTTGTTGCATATTTTGTTGCATATTTTGTTGTCTTTGCTCGAGCTCCATCGACGAGGGATCTCCGAGCCGTCTTCTTTATTTTACTTTGGACTTAGGAGGGGAAAGATAGTCAAACCCAGAAAAAAAAATGAAGGTTTATCTCCATTGCTGTTATATTTGTACTTAACATTTTTCTGCGAGTTTTGCGAAAGCTTTGGAAAACGTTTTTCAAATTGTGTTGTGAAACTTCTCAAAGATGTCTATCTAAACACACCAATCGACCGATTAGAGCACGCATAATATCTTAAATATTTCATAAATATTGAACTTATGAAAACCATAATGTTGGTTTTCTACACGGATGTGTTTATTGGCGATGCGTGTCGATTTGAATTCAAAATCATTCATTCAGTATATGATCTAGTTGCGATTTATTTAATGTTAGCTTTATCCACGAGAAACTTCATTCACACAGTTAATTTTTCGTTGTATCGATGGCAAGGTATATATCCTCTGTATAATGACAAATTTTAAGCTAGTTATGAAGTTCATCAAATTTTAGAAATTCCATTTGCAGTAAGTTAAATCTTGATCAGCAGTCCTGTAATAACAACTTAAGGTCGATGAGCTCGATTTTCAAGTAATCTCACAAGGTTGGGCAGTAATGTTTATATGGCAACCACTTTGTACCAATTTGAAAGTATGAGCAGCAGTGTTAATTGTAATATAGGGCAGACAAAAAGTAAGGTGTTCCCTCATTTTTACCAGAGATGATGACTGTTTTAATAAAAACATGTTTGCCAACTATATTTGTTTTCGTGTTGGTTTATATTAATCTCCTAAACATCTAACAGGAAACGATTCTCAAGTGTCATAACACAACAAATAATGACATGTATTTCATGATGTTTCCGATTTTTTTCCTTTCTGTTCATCGAAATGCTTCATGATAAGATGTCTTGGGTGATGATATCACTCTATCAAACTTTTTCTTTCCTTCACAGGTGAAGCACCGCAATTTCGGGGGAACCAGTGGGAAGGGGGATGGTTGGAGGGTTTTGGGTGTGTCACGATAAAATTTACCTGATCCTTATCAGGCGCTGTAATATCCTTATAATCCCCCCTCTCTCATTCGAATTTAACCGGCAGTAAATTTTCTAGTTAATAAGGCACTCAACCTTTCCGCGGCATTTCTTTAGGATGGCAAATTGCTCGTAATTTTTATAAGTCGAGTGACGTTATATAAAGAAAGGAATTAAATATGTACATTCTTTTGTTTTACTCCATCTCATTTGCATTCAAATTTAGTTTCACACTTTCCTTTCTTTATATAACATCACTGAACGTATAATAATTTTGCATTTGATAATGCTGACACGTCGTCGTCGAAAATTCTATGAATTTAAATGTAATTCCTGCGATGCGAATTATCTAGGCAACACGAACCATTGCTTCCACCGAAGGTTGTCCGATACCACTGCTTGATACAAGTCGTCTTAAGTATTCACGAGTCGTACGATCCGGAAACCATGGAAACGAAACGAGTCGTAAGGCTGTGCTATCTATCCTTGAGTGTAATTAGGGAAACTTAGATATTTTTTCACCACTTTGAGAGAACTGACCCCAAATTGTGGTGTGTCGATTTGTACGAGTCGTACTAGTCGTCAAGGAAACAAAGAAGGGAGGCAGAAAGCTTACTGTTCCTTAACAGCCAGGTTTTATGTACTCATTATAAGCTATGCTTTAAGGAGCTTCTTCAATCGTCTTTGATGTCCGGAGTACCTATGGGTGCGATCTTTATAACTGTACGGGAGAAATGTAGGTTTTGCCAAAAGTCTTTGATTTTGGACGGAAAGTAAAACGTTGTTGTGGTTTATGACTGCGAATTTGGAACCTACCTTGGCAGTCGAATGTCAAAGCGATGTAAAAGTTGTAAGGTATTCGAACATTATAAGCACCTTATTTTCTTCCCTAATCATCGTTAACACGGTCACGTTACATGTCTTCCGTGTTCCGACACTGGCGTCGAATTTGTCCGCTCATTAATATTGCATTGTATTCACTTTACTTTTGGTTGTTATTTGATAATAATAGGATTATCTGATCCATTTTGCGCAATGCTTTTTGCTAAGACGAAAAATGCAGTGGTTGTTTGTGCGCTGCGAGCAGGGCCTTTTTTTGGAACAAAGAGGAATAGTTTGGTGTTTGTGCACCTCACGCGTTGCTATTAGAACGAGGAATACTTTTGTTGTTTGTGCACTTCGCGCGTTGCTTTTTATTAGAGCAAAGATTTCTCTTGTTATCTGTGCACCTCACGCAGTGCTCTTAAAACGAGGAATACTTTGCTTTTTGTGCACTTTACGCGGTGCTTTTAGAACGAGGAATACTTTGTTTTTTATGCACTTAGCACGGTGCTTTTAGAACAAAAATTCTTTACATGTTGTGCGCTTCGCAAAGATTTCTCTTGTGATATTTGCACTTCACGCGGTGCTTTGAGAACGTGGAATACTTTGTTTTTTTGTTCACTTCGCATGGTGCTTTTAGAACGAGGAATACTTTGTTTTTTGTGCACTTCGCACAGTGCTTTTACAACGAGGACTACTATGTTTTTTGTGCACTTCGCACAGTGCTTTTAGAACGAGGAATACTTTGGTTTTTTGTGCACTTCGCACGGTGCTTTTAGAACGAGGAATACTTTGTTTTTTGCACACTTCACACGGTGCTTTTAGAACGAGGAATACTTTGTTTTATTGCACAATTCGCACGGTGGTTTTAGAAGGAGGAATACTTTATTTTTTGTGCATTTCGCACGGTGCTTTTAGAACGAGGAATACTTTGTTTTTTGTGCACTTCGCGCGGTGCTTTTAGAACGAGGAATACTTTGTTTTTTTGTGCACTTTACGCGGTGCTTTTAGAACGAGGAATACTTTGTTTTTTGTTCACTTCGCGCGGTGCTTTTAAAACGAGGAATACTTCGTTTTTTATGCATTTCGCACGGTGCTTTTAGAACGAGGAATACTTTGTTTTTTGTGCACTTTACGCGGTACTTTTAGAAGGAGGGATACTAATGTTTTTCGTGCACTTCGCGCGTTGCTTTTCAGTACAACAAAGATTACTGTTGGTGGCTAGGTAGGTAAGACTTTATTTAATGAGGATAACATTTGACAGTAATAAAACTTACAACCTAATGGCCCTCAAAAAAAACAAAACAAAACAAACTAATAGCAATAGTTGCAACAATATTAATGGTAATTAAAATAGTATACAAGCCTTTGTACATTGCAAAATAAGATTATAAAATGTGGTTATATACAGATTTTAAAATTTACATGAATAACCGCGTAAGAATTTGATTATTTGAAATTATTTTGAAAAGAGAACGCTTAAAGTTTTTGACATCGGTACCTAGTTTTTTCCATTCCTTTGTTGCTCTCACAGCAAACGTTCGACCATTTTCCTTACTTCTGTTATATCGAGGGCAACTTAAGTTAAGATTACAGAAACGGGTTGATCTATTATGTGTGTCAGAGTTTCTGATAAGTAAATAATTTATATATTCAGGAGTATCCCCTTCAGCCTTTTATAGGTTAAAGTGCATCGATTACGTATGATTCAGCATAAAAGGGAATCCACTTTAGGGAGTTAAATAAGGCGACAGAAGGTGTTGTTTATTTGGCACCAAGAATTATTCTAGCCGCACGTTTTTGAAGACGTCGGACTTTCAAAACATTTCCTTTATTAGAAGAAGTGCAAATCATATTGCCGTAAAGCATTATAGGTTTAATGATCGTAGAGTAGTATATGTCTCGTTGACTGTGTTTTAAATACGGACTCCTGTTAAATATGGACTGTTGTTGTTTGTGTACTTCACGCGGTGCTTTTAGAACGAAGAATACTCTCGTTATTTGTGCATTTTGCGTGGCACTTTTAGTAGTGCGAGGATTTTCTTGTTTGTGCACTTCGCGCGGTGGTTTTTTGGTGAAAAAGTCTCCCTAAGGACATTCATGGATAGACAGCACAGCCTTACGACTCGTTTCGTTTCCATGGTTTCCGTAATGAATATTCATGGTCGACGAATCGTACCACTCGTACGAATCGATGCACCACCATCAGGGCTCGATGGTGTGAGGTGAAAAACTGTCAGTCTCCCTAGTGAGAGGCACGGGTCGTACGACTCATGAATACATTAGACGACTCCTACGAGTCGTACGACTCGTGAATATATTAAACTACTTGTATCGATCCGTAGTTTTGGACATACTTGGATCAATCTTCACGAACAAATTGCCA